GGGATTCTCCAGCCCCTTCCCATTTCCCTCAGGGATTCTCCAGCCCCTTTCCAGCTCTCTCAGCTGCCCCTCATAGCACTTCCAAGTCACACCTAAGCCACAGGCAGAACACAGAACATTTCAGAAACCCCACAACCCACAGAGGGTTCCTCCACCCCAGGACTGAGTCATTCCTGAAGTGCCCTTTCCCCAGGAGGGAAGGAAGGAGCTGCCACCACCCAGCCCATCCCAGGTGCCACTATTACCTACTGATGTCATTGTTGGCCAGGTCGAGCCTCTCCAGCTTCTGCAGCACCGTGATCTCCTCGGGCACTGCTTTGATCTTGTTGTCCCTGAGCTCCAGCACGCACAGGGAGCTCAGCTGCTTCAGATTCTCTGCATTCAGCATTTCAATCTGGTTCTCCCCAGCGTGCAGCTCCTATGAGAACAGAGCACCACAACTGTGGGAAAATCACTTTATAACTTCTCTCCTAAATCATGACATCAGCAGTCATCAGTATGTGGAGAATATGGATATCTTGATTCCTTTTCATCTACCTACAGAATATCTGGATATCACCTGGGTATGCTAAGAGGAAAAACAGTGTATTTACCCTACAGTTACAAAGAAAAAACGATAATGAACAAAGTGAATTGATCCAGAAAAAGCTGCCAGAGATAAAAAATAACTGTTGCAGGCAATATTAGATTCAACTTTCAGCCATTCCTCTCCTAAACACTTTTTATTTTCCAAACCTGGAAAGTCTTGCAAACTGATCTTTCAAAAACTTGAATAATGAGGGCAGTAAGAGAAGTTGCATTAAACAGAGCTCTAAACACAAAGTTGTCAGCTGCTTTTGATCCCAGCACTTCACAAAAGCTTGTGTTTAAAGCAGCTGTCACCATTCCAAAGCTTTCAGCACATGCATTTCCAGCAGAGCAGCCGTGCCAAGCTCACCTTCAGGAACTTGCAGGAGGGAAACTCGGGCAAGGAGCGCAGTTTGTTTTTCCTCAGGTAGAGCTGCTCCAGGGATGCCATGCTTGCTAATTTAGGAGGAACAGTTTCCAGGTAGTTCTTGGTACAATCCAGTTGCCTCAAACCTGTGGAAGTCGATGTCCAGTGATAAATAGAAAGAGGAGAAGATAAAAATACCTTTCTTCTGGGCTGGGGACAAGGTGGGGATTGGGCACAGCACGGATTTGATGCTCTGGGAGAACTTTTCCAACTTCAATTAATTTGGGATCCTGCATCTTTTCCTTTGAACCTGGGCTTCAGGTTCCTCTCTGACCAGGCACTGCACATTCTTTAGCAGCTGTTTTGGAGCTGCTTTGGGATCAGTTGTTTCCCCTCTGCAGCATAATTATCCTGGGGGTTAATTTAAAACAACACAACAACATCTTGCCAAACAGATTCTAGAAGTAATAACTCTGATTTTCCTAAGGAAACAGTAACTCTTTAAGGATCTATTTTAAAACCCTGCTAAACACAAGCAGAGCAGCAGCTGTTTTATTTAATAACCCGAGGAAAATGATTTACTTTTCATGGCACTGAGGTCTGCAGGCAGCTCCTTGAGTTGGTTACAGGCCAGGTTGAGTCTCACCAAATTCACCAGCAGAGCAAAACTGCTGGGGATGGCTGTGAGCTGATTGTTGGACACATCCTGCAGGTTCAAACAGAGAGAGAGAGACATGAGAGGTGTGTGAAACATCCCTGGAGTGCTGCCAGTGCAAAGTTAATTAGTGGCAGAACAGGAAAATTAGATGGCTGACAAGAGGTGCAAGTGTGAGAGAAGAAACAAGTTCCCCCAGGACTGACAGATCACTGGGGATTTCAGCTTTCCCAAAATATGTCACAGCAAGAACTGTAAGAGCTGAAATGAGGGGGGTTAGACTGGCTCTTTAAAATGCTGTTTATTTTATCTAGGTGATACAGTAATTTATGGGTCTGGGTGACACCACTGTGGGTTCATCTAAAGCCATCTCTAGTTCTGGTTACAATACATTATATACTTTTATATCTTAAAACATAATAACCAATCAACACTTTTACTATTATTTGTAGCTCATTGTAACTATTAACATTACTATCTGTATGTTACTATTTTTTTTTTATGAAAAGTTAGTATGTTACAGTTCAAGTTAGAAACTGTTTTTTAGTTTCTTTGTAGTGGAAAGTTCTGAGGTGGGTGGTTTTTTTTTTTAACTTGTAACATGGTATTTTTTCTTTGCTTGTGAGAATTTTTTTGCTTGGTAAAAACATTTTTTGTTTGAGGTGGATTTGTTTTTTGCTCTAAGCTATAAAAACCCTTTCTAACTCACATGCTAACATACACTTTGCCTTCTAGTTATCCAGTAAAACCACCTCAGCAATCCTTCTGTTTTATATCAAAACTTGCTATCATTTCTACTCCTTTTTCAAATTCTAGACTCAAAAATCTTTCTGTCACATATCTGTAAAACCTTCCTATCAAATCCTTATCCTTCCCAACAACGAACAAACTAAAACCAAACCCCACCATGCACCAACTGATGTTACAACAGCCACTGGAATATTCTCCAAGCTCTGCCACTGAGGGATGGCAGGGGGAGCCAGCAGTGGGAAAACACGAATAAATCCTTTCCAAAAAATAATAATAAAAAAAAGAATAAAGCTGAATTTGTGCTTTACCAGCTCCTCCAAGCTCAGGAGCTGCCCCAGCCCCTCGGGCAGCTGGCTCAGCTGGTTGTGCTGCACCAGGAGGCTCCTCAGACGGGGCAGCTGCAGCAGCTCCTCGGGAAGGCTCCTCAGTTGGTTGTGGCTGGAGGGGAAATTTGGAACACAAAGGGAAAGGGAAAAAACCTTCAGGAGTTTTTAGGAATGTAACTGCACGAAGAATATTTGTGTCACGCAGCCTGCTGGTCAGGACAGTGCCACCTCTAAGGAAAATCTGGGGACAATCCTACATTGAATTTACAATATTCCAGGTTTTTTTGTTTGTGTACTTCACACACACAGTGGTAGCATAACCTCTCCTTGTGCACGAATTTACAAAATTACCCCAGTAAACAGAAGATTCTGAACCTTCCAGCACAAACAAGGTCTACAGAGTTCTTTACAATGTGCATTATTCATGACTGGAAATGTTTTATCCTCAGAACTGCCTGACTGAAGCAAATAAATGCAAATAAATATTTTGTGCATGATTATTCAGAACATCACTGTTTGCACTTTCCAAGCACTCGTGACTTTGAATAACAGTGAAAACAATTCTAACAAATCCAAGGCTGCCAATTTTGATCCAAAACTGATAATATATATAATAATAGTGGATAGTAAGCAATCTGGAATTAATTTTTGGACAGAAGGGTTGAAATCCTGCAATCTCTCACTCACACCTGAAAGTCACTGCAGCATTTCTCATGTGTGTTCTGCACCATGGCCTTACCTGACATCGAGTTTCTGGAGATTTTCAAGTTGCCCTAAAGCAGAAGGAAGTGATGTCAGTTGATTGTCATGCACCTGGAAAAAAGAGGTTTGAGAACACAGTTGCTCATTTGTGCTTTAGAGGTATAAAAAAACAACCCTGGAGGGGTTTTTCCAGGAATTCCTGCCCACTGGTAATGGGAAGCCATTCCCTGTGTCCAGTGAGAGGAATGTTGGATTTGTCTTTCCAAACTGGGATCTGCTGGGGGATAAAACCAGCACTGAGAGATAAAAGAAACAATGGGATGGATTCCACTGATTGATGAATGGAAAAAGAGATTTGCCTTTACAAACAAACTGTAGAGTTGCTGATAAATGAAATTGGATATTAAAAGATGAAAGAAGCAATGGGGAACAAACGATGAATTCTGTAAGAATTAAAAATGCAAAGGGAGGGTTGTACATTGGAGGGAAATCTCAGGTATCAGGGTTTGGGAAGTCTGGGCCTCTCCAGTAACTCAGCCCATGGGGAAAGAGAGAGGGAAATTGGGATCAAAAAGCAGGTGAGTCCTCTAAAATGTGAGAGATCCCAGGGGAACGCCCCATGACCTCTCCCTTCACTCCAATAAAGCCAAAAGCACTCCCCTGTCTCCTTTATGGACACAAACCTCTGGTGTCTGTGGATTCATTTTCCCGATAGCAGGGAAATGGAAAACAAAAACCCAGCACAAGCCTTCCCCACGCCCTACACGGGAGCACCGGGAGCTCAGGGAGGATCCCGGTACTCACATCCAGCGTGCTGAGAGCTGGCAGCAGCTTCACATCCTCCGAGAGCTCCTGCAGTTTGTTGGAGGCCAGGATGAGCTTGGTGAGGTCGGTCTGCTCCCACCAGCGGTCGGCAGCTCCGAAGGACAGGTTCTGCTGGGCTTCCTCCGGAGGGTCCACGTTGATCCTCCACACGTGCTCGGGCACTGCGGCACAGACACGGCACAGCTGAAGCCCAGGGCTGTGTGGCCCAAGAGTTCACTGCCAGCCCGCTCACCACCGGCATCAAATCATGGAGTGGGCTGGGAAGGGAGCTCAGTGATGGTCTAGTTCCCTTCTGCCTTGGGGAATGGCATATATAGATACATATAGAGAGAGAGAGACATAAATATACATATAGAGATAGATAAATATACAGAT